AAACGCAACGCTCGGTTAACGACTTTTGATAAAAGTTGGACCTGTCTCGCCACCTGATGCCAACACTGTTGTTCTTCAAAATATAATGTTACGGGGCTATAAATCATATCTCGACGTCGGGAAAATTTCAATTCTGTTTACCGTACCATTAGCACTAATTAGAACAGTGAACATCGAATCGCTTTAAAATTATCCACACGTTGTCATGTATCGAAAAGCTGTTTATCCATCAAATATTCACGAGTTGTTCACTGTACAAAGTAAAACGAGTCGTGTGACTGTAACGTATTATATTTACATCGATACATTTTGAAATAAAAAGAGAGAAAAATTGAATTTCGAGAGGTATCTTCGCGCTCTGATGAATTTTCGAAAATTACAAAGCATGAATTAATTAATTAATTCCAATGGAGAGTCGAAAAAAAACATTTCAACAGCTGTCGTTTCATGTCCAACAGATCGAACAAAAATATTTTACAAATAAAAATTATTCCATGAACTTTTAACATTCAAAAAATTGGATTTCAAGAATTCAAGGGCTTGACAAATTTTTCTATATTCAAAAAATTCGTTCAAAGAAATTTCCATCTAATATTATACCCGATCGATTATTACCAAAATTTAACAGAACGAAAAAACTTTCCAAAAGAAAAAAACCACTTCGGAAAATACTTCGTACGCCACGTCTTCTTAAAAAGCGAATAAAAACCAAAAACTTGGTTCAACGACAATTAAAAATTTGATTCCTCTCGCGTTCGAAAGGCAAACGTGTTTCAAAACAATCAAAAGCAATCCGAATCGTATCGCGTCCACCGCTCACTCGAACGGACCCCTTCCGCGAAGAAAATTTATGCGGCCGGTGCCGCAATCGATCGGGCGTAACGTCACGTAATGGACGTTTTCGAAAAAGCGAAATAGAGGCTGGCCGTCGAGGGCGTCGATTTAAATATGCAGATATACAAGCGATCGCGAAAAACGGCCACTTCTCGGCCGGCTTTCACACCGCGGCGACTTCATTATTTTGCCTGTCAACCGGCGGCCTGATAAATCCCCGAAACGTGACAGTGGGCGGCAGATATTGCGCGTTTCGCGGTCCTCGTGGACGTATCCCCTCCCCTCCGTTCCGCAGTTAGCCCTATCATTGAAAAATAAAAATTTCGTTGGTCGCTCGTTAAAGCTTATCAACGCGGGGGAGGGATAATTCTCGGGGAATAATATCGAGGGAAATTTTCACGTGATAATAAGGGGGCATTTTTATGATAATCCCGGGGATGGTACCCACACCCCTCGATAATTACCGAGTAATGGGTTCTCCGGGAAGTTTTTGCGGGGCCAAGTTCTTTGGCGAGCTGCCCCTCGAGTTGGGAAACTGGAGACGACCACGGTTTCGTATCTATGGAATATTCGGAAGTTTCTCTTTCCCCCTTTTTTTTTTTTTTTTCTCAGTGAGCGTGGAGAGAACGCCGCGTATTGTTGTAAGTTATACGCTCTACTCTAATTCGAAATTTCAACAATTTTTCTATATAATAATTTAAGAATGAAGATCGGCTTAATATATATGTATATCTTGAAATTGTGTTAAAAAAGAAAAATTGAAATGAAAATTGGTATAC